TTAGCTAAGAACCTGCGCAAAGCACTAATCCCAGCCCCTGTGCCCCAACCTCAACATCTGGTTACACATCTGTTTTTTTTTCCTGTGGTAAGAAGAAAATAAATTAACTGTTATTTTCTGTTGTAGGTGGTACCGAGTGGAGACAAATTATGACCATTGGACCACTCCTCCTCCGTTTGATGATCGAAGGTGTGACCTTACCTTTTTCTACACTAATCTAGCCTCACTCATAAAACTTGTAAAACATTTTGCTCTAAAGTTGCTCCCTTTCTCCCCTCTCACAATACGGTTCATTGTAAATCCTAAACTTATGTTTAAATCAAAACCTTATAATGTTTTTTATTTTTTATTCTCCACAAGTTTTTTTTTTTGTGCTCGACTTGATGGGTATCTTCATACTTTTACAAAGATTTTCCACAAATTAAGAGCAGACCCATCTCTGGAGTAAAAAGGATTGAAAATGCCCTGGGCCTGTATATCTCTTCGACCCATTAACCACAGTGAAGGCAGGAAGAGGGGATCCCCAATGTGTTAAACAGGTTGAGGGCAGACTGACCAGATTTCTGCTGGTTAAATCTCTTGACAGCAGTACAGCTAAAGCACAACTATTAAGGGTTAACGTATCCTCAGTTAGTGAAAGTTCATAAGAAAACAAAACGGAAAGACTCAATGTATAAAGTCTGAGAACCGTATTCTTGCTATATTGCCACGATTGTTTCTATATTGTACAGTTCAAAAAGGCTATAAAATAACTACAGCAACTGAGAGACTCACACATGGATTTTCTTTGAATTCCTCAGGACGCCAGCCATCAAAGCACTGAATGCCACTGGACAAGCACATATAAACATGGATACTCTTTATGAGGTAGGATAAAATATATATACATTTCAGAATCCTATAACTTCTCTAGTGCAGAAGCAGCATTTGCTTTATTTTCTTGCTCATTATGTTCAGGAGGTCACAGGACTTTACAACGATCTTGGCATAGTCTGCCAGTTTCTTACCCCTAATTCCTGCACATTCGTACATTGGGGAAAAAAAGCAACCAACAATGATACACAACTTTTCATCTTGAGGAGCTTCATTACAGGAAATTCACAAGCCCTGAAGAGCCTGAATCATATCCTGCAGATCCAGCTACAGGGTGCCCATCACCACTCATGTGATCGTCTGCTTCTATCTGAGCTCCAGTGAAGCAAGCCGATTACCCACAAACTAGCCTCTTTTTGTATTTCCTCCACCACACACAGTGTGATGGAGCAAGCTAATGCTTGGGCTAAAGCTTCTCCTAGAATGTAAATTGGACACCCCTTACCTGATTTGGGTCCTATGGGAGTGGAATTCCACAGAAGGGAAACACTCGTTTGGTTGGCCCCGGTGGTAATTGGACATTGTATTACAGGAGAAGCAATCAGGGTATATTAGAAACCAGGTGAACATGGGCAAGAGATCTGTTTCTAAGCTCCTGTAATTCAGGGAATGAGCAAGCAGCAGCAGTATGGCTATGGTGTTGATAATAGCGGGAAAGCCAGGTGTTAAGGGTTAAGCTGAGTAAGACGCACCAGAAGCTCTCCGAGAAGACAAGGGACAAGTTTCTTCCAGTTTAAGGGAAGACTGGCTCTGGAAGAGTGGCCCTGGAGTGTGCCAGCGACTGCAGGGTTAAAAAGGACAAGTCTGTTTTAGGTAAAGAAGAGATCCAGAGTCCGTTTAGAGGAACATGGCACAGCGCCAAACCACCCAAACGCACATTTGCAATCCGGCAGTACGCTGACTCAGGGCCCCCTCGCCACTCATGTGATCGTCTGCTTCTGTCTGCACTCCAGTGAAGCAAGCCGATTACCCACAAATGAGCCTTTTTTTTGTATTTCCTCCACCACAGTTTCCCTTTACTGCCCAAGTGAAGCCTTTGCAGACCTCACATATTCAATAAACCATTCTGTCATTTGAATTCCATGTCTTTTTTTTTGTGTGTGCAGGTTTTATCAGTAAAACCAGTATGCAACATGTAAGTAATCAGTTTCTGTAACCTTTTGTAGTCAGTCTGTCATTTTTAAATCAGTTTTAAGATTATGTATGTGTTATTTCACAATACATAGTAGAAGGCCTAACACTTAATGTAAATCGGTATCCTAGGAATCAGAATACAAGAAAGCTGGATAAACTGTTCTCAAGGCATTAAATGCTTTTTGTGCTTTAATACATATTTTTGCAGTATGCTGTTATCAATTGAAAGAATTATTTGATTGAAAAAGAAACACTGAGCTGATTAACATTATGCCTCAGAGGAAACGGAACATTAGCACTGTATGACACAACAGAGAAATTGCGACAGGCATTAAAACATTCTGAGTGGTTTAAGTTATTGAGTTTCTCTCAGCCAGTTAAAGTAAATGAGTAACTCAGTGACTGTTCGCCTGTTTTAGCTGCATCTATCATTTCAGGACATTAATGAAGAAGCACACAAGTGAGCACACACATGCCTTGGTGGAAACACACACAGGTTGTAGGCGTTGGGGAGCCATAAAAGGAAGCAGGTGTTTCTGTGAACTGTGAAATGTAAACCATACATCTTAATATCAGGCCAGGTACATTTCACAATAAAAAAGCCCAGTTTCATGAACAGTGCAAGCCAGACTGCCTGTTGTCAGCAGATCTGGTAAATGAGGATATGAGGATAAGGCATCTCCCAACAAACATGAAATATACTGTATAACGGCATTACTTTTCCCAAATAAGTCCTTTGTAATCCTTCGGATTTGTGTTCTCCGTTGCCTCCTCAAGTTCCCTCAGCAGGAGAGACATGTAATCTTTTGCGAGAGCTCCTAGTTTAACTTGCTGCACATTAAAAAATATTTTCTAACCTCAAAGTTCGTTGTGTTTTGATTTTCCCCTCTTTTTCCTTTCTAGGTTGACCATCTATACAACAGTGATGAGCGCAGCCTTTCCAGAAAAGTACCGAACAGTCGTCAGACAGGTAACATTGATGTTTTTTCCAGTAAATGAAAGAAGAGCACAGATATCTGTAAACGAGAGGTGGTCATTCATTTTTAGCATCTGATTGATCCTGGGGATCAGTTGAATCTGATGAATCAAGGGTGACTACCTGGATTGCTGGCTGCTGCTGTATATTCCAGTTTCTGTTGGAGTGCAGTATGTCCAGTCCACCACAGGGTAGTGCCAAACTATTAATATAGTTGCTTGAAATAATAAATTAAATT